GGCAGGCAAGATTGGGCCACAGCTTTCAGGCCCTGATTCCAGGGAAGGAAAAACTGATCCAGAGAGCCGGTGCAGTCCTGGTGCGTCTTGAGCATGTGGGGAACAGCAGGTCTAAAAGGACAAAATCCTCTCTGAGCATTGCTTGGTGGTCAAGAGCGTGGGCTACAGAGCCAGACAAGATGGGTTCAGATCCCGGCTCCTCTGCTCCCTAAGTATGAGACCCTGGGCTAGTTGTCCAACCTTTCTTGACTCACTATCCTCCTCTGTAAAATGGGTATAGTAACAGTACCTACTCCCCAAGGGGGATGTGAAGAATAAATAAGCCAACACATGTAAAATACTCAGAACAAGGCCTGGTACTTATTAGGTGCTCAAAAATTGTAGATATAAATTATTATTATTATATTCTCTTTTGAGTCTCACAATAGCCCTGAGAGGTATTATTATCCCCATTTTACAGAAGAAGAGACTAAGGGTCAAAGAGGTTAAGGAGAGGCTTAAGACCACACAGACAGAAAGTGGGCAAGGCTGGCCTTGCACTGAGATCACAGGACTCTACTGCTGTTTTACTGAGCGTTTCAGAGCCCCTTTCAGTCTCCAGATGAAATGATTTTACCCTCATCGTAGAGATTCACATCCTTTCCTTCTCCAAACATGCTCTGACCTTCCCAGGCAGATGGCACCAAATATTTACCATACAATTACACGGCCATGATTGAATTTAGCCGGAGCAAGGGAGGCTGATTAGCAACAAGTCTATAACCCCGAGAGGAGGAAATCATTCTGAGGTTGCACACTATAATCCTGCAGGGGTGGGAATGTTGCTGAAAATTGTCCTGGCTCAGGTTCGCCCTCTCTGCAAGGCGTTTGCCCAATACATGGGCTTTAGAGTCAAGATGGCAGTACTGGAAGTGCTGTTGACAAAGTCCAGACCATGACTTTATGGTTCGAGGGATGACATTTTATGATGTGCCCACAAACTCTTTTCCAACTGCTGTTGAAAGTCCTGTCGTGAAGGACTAGAAGGAAGATTGTGTGTATTCTTCTCTCAGGCTAAGGAGACAGGGATGCCATTTATCAGAATCAGTGTGTAAGAGGAACACACCTAGAAGAGAGTCCATTTTCTGGAAAGACCTCTTGGCAGTTCCCATGTGGAGAATAGTTCAAAATGCCCCCATGTGTTTGCAAAACTCATATTGCAATGCCAGCTCTATTGAGAATTTTCCAAGGCACCAGTATGTTCCCAGGTCTGACCTTAATGAGCCCTGAGATCTCACAGAGGTAGAGTCACCTCTCAGCCTCAGTTTCCTCTTCTGTAAAGTGAGTGACTTGGACTCTATTTAATCCCTCCAGCTCTAAGATTTTATTAGTCTATGAGTCCACGAACCAAAAGTGGCTATGTGCCCTCATAAAATGGCGAAGATTTGGGTTTTAGAATCTGTGTCTCTCATAGCAGGACCCAGACCTGCTCTAGAACTTTTGACTTAGCGGTTTCAACCACCTCCTTGACCCAACTGCTCTGACTCAATCCTTCCACCTGCAGCCTTGCTCCACTACTCAGAATTCCATCTAATTCCACGAATGTGGACTGAAGACTTTCTGTATTCCCGACTGCACAGCTGCAAAGATGAGTGAGATTAGTTTCCCACTTTTGGGAATTCACAGTGATAGTGAGGTCAAGACTTGCCAGAACTTCTTTTCTGCAGAGATCTCTCAGTACCTAAACTAGTGGTTCCCAGAGTCTGGTCCCCGGACCAGAGACTTCACCCAGGAACTTGCTAGAAATGCAAATTTTCAGGCAGCATCCTAGACCTCCAGAATCAGAAACAGAGCCTGGCCCATCACTCTTAGTTTTTAACAAGTCCTCTAGGGAATCGGGGGCGCCTCAAGTTTGAGAACCACGGCACTGGCCCTTTCAAGGATAAGCTGCAAAACTCTGATTCTGAGCTCTCAAGGGACCTGAGGAGACGTCTTGAAGAAAACTCTGTCGCTTGGGCTGACAGCACTCGTTATTTTCAATTCACAATCATGGCTCCCTTGGAAGCTCCAACAACATTTTGGGGTTTGTTTTTTTTTTTTTTTTAAAGATTTTATTATTTCCTTTTTCTCCCCAACACCCCCCGGTACATAGTTGTATATTCTTCGTTGTGGATTCTTCTAGTTGTGGTATGTGGGATGCTGCCTCAGTGTGGCTTGATGAGCAGTGCCATGTCCGCGCCCAGGACTCGAACCAACGAAACACTGGGCCGCCTGCAGCGGAGCGCGCGAACCCAACCACTCGGCCACGGGGCCAGCCCCCATTTTGGGGTTTTTTTTATGGTATTTTTGTAAATGTCCATTTTTTTTGTGGTATTTTTGTAAATGTCCAGGCGTTGTGAAAACTACTCATTTGTTTTGACGGGAACTAATCCAGTTTAAGCACTTAATTCCCCATGGAACTTCCAGGCTTCCCTTTAAATCGATTGCGATGCTTGGTGGGATGTTGACGCCATGACTAAGACCCACAATCAGAATCGCAGTTCCAGCTTCCAAAGACCTCCAGAGGAAGAGAGTGCTCAGAGGGTCAGTCCACTGTCACCCTTCCTCCCTTCCAAGGAGGCTTCATTAATATCCTCCTCCGTGGCGGGGTCTGAGCCTGGTTCCTGTTCTCTTCAGCAGGTGGGCCACATTCTCTCTGCCGCAAGTTCAGACATGAAGGGTGAGGCAGGTGTGGCTCCTCAAGAGGGCCCAGTCTGCGTCCTTGCCCTTGTCTTCTTTCCTGGGACCTGCAAGTCTCTCATCCACTGCTCCAACCAAGGGCCATATGCTAGACCAGAGCACCTTCATGAAAATTAGAAAAAGGCACCCCCTCTGGCTGCCTCTCAGGGTGGGTGCAGCCCTTGGAGCTCAGGGCTCGGCTGGATTTCAGCCCACTCGCCACCTTGGGCAGGTGCCTGACTGCGGCACAAACTACACAGCCATAAATAGCAGCCTGCTCCTACCCAGGCTGGGCCTGGCAAAAATGAGGGCTGAGCCAGGAGAGAAGTAGGGGCTGATGTCTGCGGAGGAGAGCCTGTATATGCAGCTACTACATGTTGGGGCTTCCCCCATGCTGGGCCCAAGGTTACGCTCTTTACCCTCGTCATTTCCTTAAATTCTCACAACCACCCACTGAGGTGAGTACTAGTGTTGTCTCTGTATAATTTTTCTTTTTCTAAATTATAAAGTATTTTCAACTCTCAGGGCCTCCATTTTCTCATCTTTCCAATGGGTATGATACTCTTAGCTCTTTTCTCAAGAGCTTGTTCTGAAAATCAAATGAGACCATAGTGATGAAAGCTCTCTGGAAAAAAGGTTTTAAAACAGCCTACAAATGTCAGGTTTAATATTGATCTTATCCCTGGGTCATCAAAGGTGGTTTCTGTGGGTTCTAGTTTGAGAAACTCACCTTAAATTCACACAGCCCCCAGTGTTAGATGTGAATGCCACAGAAGGTAGGTTTCCCACCAGGGTACTGGCATATGGGGGTGCTTCCTCCCTTAAAATCGTTAGACTTGTGAAGCTGCTGTGGATGAGGTGTGTGTGCAGGCGCTCAGGGGCGAGTCATGGCCTGGCAAGCCAGCCTGGACGGGATGACCTCATGGGCCTTTCCCACTTCTCATTTTGATGACTGGATTCACTGTTTCGTTTTTGGCTTTCTCTCTCTTTTGTGCAGCTGTGATGATTGGGATTTAGGGCAAGCATTTGGGATCCCTTTCTAATTCCTGTCAAATCCAGATTTAGCTGCAAAGTCTGTGAAAGGGACAGGGGAAGAGAGGAGAGGGGAGGAGGGACCTGCCCTGGCTGGAGGCAGTAGCTCAGAACCTCTGAGAGAGTCCAACAGGAACACCCAACTTCCACTCTTGGAGGCAGGAGGCCTCTCATCTCATCCAATGTCATCCTCATCCCAGATGTAGAAGGGATGGGTTTCATCTTTGGACTCAAACCTCTTATAACCTTCTTGTTTGGGTGCTTAAGGAATAAGTATGGTGGTTGTAGTGGTAAGAAAGAGACTTAATATTTGCCTTTTTCCAATTTAACAGTGTCCTCTGTTGAAATGTTTCTTGGCTGGGTCCCTTCTCCATTTCCACTATTGCCCCCCTGATTGAGAGTGAGTCCCCTTCTCACGTATTAGTGCAACAATGGTCTGGATCATCCACCTTGCAAACCACTGCCACACTCAGTTGATTTTTTATTATATAACTTCCCTACAGGAGAGATGTTACATAATATGATGCTAGTTTTATTGTGCACATCACCTGTGGCATCACATACAGATTTCTCAGTCTGAATTTAAAGGCCTTTTATAAGCAGCTTCCAGCTACCCCTTCAACCTAATTTCTATCTGCAACTCCTGGCAGTTCCTTCATCACTTATTCTGTTGTCCACCGCTTGGGCTGTTGTTGATGCGTCCCTCTCAATTTGTTTCTTCTCTCAGTCCAAACACTATGCATCTGTAAAGCCAGCTCATGTCCCATCTCCTTGTCCCCAGCCCACTAATGTCTCTGTCCTCTGAACATCTAGTGCCAGCACCACACATTTTCTTACTAGTTATTCTTTCATTTGTTCCATTAGTTAAGTCTCCCCAGGTAGACTGTAAGCTCCTTGACATTGGTCCCTATCCTAAGCTTCTTCCATATTCTCTGTAGTATCCAGCTAAGCTTATGTGGGATGCAGTAAATAATAAAGTCATTTTGACCCTGATCAGGTGTTTGCCCACCTAAAAACTGCATTGATGACTTTCTAGAAACTGAAGTGTTCATTTATCTTGTGATAAGAAATAGTATCTGTTTGTAGCCAATACTCCTGATCACTCAGTCATGCACGTATGTACCCTTATGACTTTCCTGAGTGGGGAAGAAAAACTGCTGAAGATTGGAGGTTTGACAGGTAATCCCCAGCCCTAGGATTTCCAACAACAGTCAACCTGCACTGGGTCCTTTACATTCTTATAATGTGTTTGACCTCTCCTCTTTCCCCAGAGAGCTCCTGTGAGAATAAGCGGGCAGACGTGGTCTTCATCATTGACAGCTCCCGCAGTGTCAACACCCACGATTATGCAAAGGTCAAGGAGTTCATTGTGGACATCTTGCAATTCTTGGACATTGGCCCGGATGTCACCCGAGTGGGTCTACTCCAATATGGCAGCACCGTCAAGAACGAGTTCTCACTCAAGACCTTCAAGAGGAAGTCTGAAGTGGAGCGTGCTGTCAAGAGGATGAGGCACCTGTCCACAGGCACCATGACAGGGCTAGCCATCCAGTATGCCCTGAACATCGCATTCTCAGAAGCAGAAGGGGCCCGGCCCCTGAGGGAGAATGTGCCACGGGTCATAATGATTGTGACAGATGGGAGGCCACAGGACTCAGTGGCTGAGGTGGCTGCAAAGGCACGGGACACAGGCATCCTGATCTTTGCCATTGGCGTGGGCCAGGTGGACTTCAACACACTGAAGGCCATTGGGAGCGAGCCCCACGAGGACCATGTCTTCCTAGTGGCCAACTTCAGCCAGATGGAGTCACTAACCTCAGTGTTCCAGAACAAGTTGTGCAGTAAGTCCTGCTCCTCTGTGGCTCTACTAGGGGAATCATTAGGATTCATTCATTCATCTTCCAGTGTTCATTCTGTGCTATCTCATCCCAGGAACTATACTGGCAAGGGGTGTTCAGTAAAGGCCAAGATAAACATGGTGTTCTCTTGAGGCTTACACTCTGGCCAAGCAGACAGATAGTAAGCATACAATTACATAATAAGTAAGTAACTGCAGTTGTAACAGTGTAATGGAGGAAAAATTCAGAGCAGGACCTGACGTAGGCCGGGGTGCTGGGGGAGATTTCCCTGGGGAAGGGACATTTAAACCCAAAGTGCAGAATGAGTAAGAGTAGATAGGTGAATTTTTCTCCAGCACATGGAACTGCCCTGGCTTTCCCTAAGTTAGAATTCATGAGTTGGAGTAGGGATGGGAATGGGAGGGCAAAAATAAGAACATAATTTCTCCTTGGATGGTGTGGAGTACCAAGCGTTTTGACCCCACTGTGGTGCTAGCAGTAGGTGTTTTCTCAACTGACAAAGAGGCCCAGTGTACAAGGAGGACCAAGATGTGGTCCTGGTGCCTTCCCACTGTTAAGATGGCAAGTGCCCCCCATCCCTTCTTCAAGGTAATGACTCCCCAAGACCTTAAGCTGCATTCTACTTTAAGGGTTTTCTTCCCTTTCTTGCTTTCTAACCCTACTCTCCACAAGCCTTCCCTCTCCCTTCCTTCCCAGCCTCCTCCCAGTTACCTCCAAGCCAAGCTCCTGCCTCAACTTTTTTTTTATGGCGGTAACATTGGTTTATAACATTATGTAAATTTCAGGTGTACCTCATTATATTTCAATTCCTGTGTAGATTATATCATGTTTACCACTCAAAGACTAATTAAAATCCATCACCACACACATGTGCCTAATGCCTCAGCTTTTTCCAGAAGGCCAACTTGCTTTCTCCCCGGTTTCTTGCTTCTGCTGCTGTCTTCTCGTCCTTTCCTCCTCCTGGAGGGAAGGGGCCGAGGGTGCCAACCCAGGCTCCACTCTGGTCCCTGGAAACTGGAAATGTGCCTCCTGACCTGGTAAACAGTGTCCAGTCCTGCCTTGCCCATTGGTCCCTGTCACCCCAACTGCCATGCTTCTTTGATGGAAAAACAAAAGGAAACATCTATTTTGAAATGACTAGTATTTCCATGGAGTATGAGTGAAGAATGAGCTTAAGGACTGGACTCATCTCCAGTTCTCCAGGAGCAAGAACCTGCCTCTCTGGGGCCCTGAGAAACCATTCTCAGTAGGTGGCAAAGCCTAGGTGCCCCCCACTGAAGCCTCAGGGAGGAAGAACCATGTGTTTTTGATGTGTCTTTTTTAAAAAAATCCCCTGCTGAGAACTAACCTCACAAAGCGGAGACCCCATTGTTTCTTGACTCCAAAATCAAAAGATTTACTTAAAAAAATCAATGCCATGAAGGAAAAAGAAACTTTCTCTGCAATGTCACTTGGAAAATGTTCAGAAGTGCCATTTCCCCTGGCGCCACACAGGGCTGTGTTATTGTGGTATGCCATGGCCTCAGTCACCTGGAAAACTTCAACCAGTACACGCACTGCAAACATTTTCAAGGTTTATGACTTTAAATGACTTCTGCAGAATTTTTGTTCCCCTTTGCCTGGAAATATTAAAAAAGAAATTGGTTCCGTAATAGTTTTGACGGGTTTATTCATTTGTCTTGGAAAATGTTAACGGAGGAGTTCTTTTATAAGCACTCTGGATTTATCAGCAAATGGAAAGGTAATATGATGAGGCCGAGGATGTGGACTTGTCCATAGAAGAAACTTCTCTGTGCTTTATGGTCAGGCAGCAAAATTAAAAGGCAGTTTGGATTTTTCTTCTCTTTGCTGTAATCTGGAAGCTCTAAGAAAACCTCGGTATTATGCCATTCTTTCGTTTGTTAGTGTGGCCTGAGAACCAAATCCACCCCCTGACGCCCTCCCACGAGACCACCTCCTCTCTCACCACCTCACAGGGTTCTGCTGAGCAGCCTCCTCAACCCAACCGTCTTGAAAGGTTGAGGAGTCCCCAGGGCCTCTTTATCAGCTGTGCCGTAAAGATCGCAATAACTAACATTTACAAAGCACTTTCTCTTATGTTTTCGCATGTGGTCCTCACTAAAATCTGGGGAGGCAAGGCAGTACTATCCTCCCTCTTTACAGGTTAGTAAACTTGCTGAGTGAATCCCCCAGGACAAACAGCCAGGAGATAGTGGGTTCTGCTGCCAAAGCTCTTGCTCATTTCATGCCTCCGCACGTCGGGAGTTATAAATTCCTCCTTTAAGGTAAACCATTTTCTGGTGGCGACCTCCACAGTCAGGCCCTGCTCAGGAAACCAGCGTTGAGGTTGACATTAACCTCAGAGTTTGACAGGGGGCCTTTGTACAGTGGGGAGTAGCAGACTGGGGTCTCAGCGACCCTACCTGCCAGCTGTGTGCTGCTGAGCAGATCTGTAAAATGGGGGTTTTACCTGCAAAGGGGAGATGTATGAATGTATGAACAGGCGTTATAAACTGTAGAGCCCTATTCAGTGTGCACAGTGCTGTGTATGATTAGTCAAATACATGGAGGACCAGCAGGCTAGGCAGATGTCCTGTTGTGATCTGTACTTCATTTATCAGACAACAATGATGAGCGTCTTCCAAGTCGCAGATGACATCGCTGAGGTTTTGGAAGTCTCCTTTGTTCCTTAAACGTTTATTGAGCTACACTCTGATAATAACAGCTAATTTTGTCCTGGGCAAAGTACTTTCCACACATGATTTCATTTAATGCTTATAAAAACCCAATGAGGCAGTATGACTGTTATCCCCGTTTTACAGAAGTGGAAAGTGAGGCTTACGAAGGATAAGCAACTTCAAGTCACAGAGTTGGAGATTCAGACTGCAGCCTCTCTGGCTCCACAGCTCTTACCCTCCACATGCCAAGGCCTGAGGGTTCCAGGCTGGTAGAAAGATGCTCTCATCACAGAGAAATGGGATGTTGGCTATAGAAAGTGTATACTTCAGAGGCCTTGGAAAGTCACCTAGCACTGGGGGACCTCTGATCAAAGAATGCCTGGGTCTGCCTAAGGGCTTCAGGAGAAATTTAAAGAGGAGATAATAATAATCACTGACATTTATTGATAGTGATATATACATTTGCTGTTTTGAGCTATTAGCATGTGTTGACTCATTTTATTCACACAACTAACCTATGAAGTAGGTGCTGTTATAATTCCCATTTTACAGAAGAGGAAATTGAGACCTAGAGGTTCAATAATGTGTCCAAGGTGAGACAGTGCTGAGTGGTAGAGTTGAGATGCGAACCCTGGCATTCTGGCTCAGAACTTGCATCTTAACTGCTATGTGCTACACAGACTTGGAAGATGAGTAGGCGTTTACTGGTTAGAGATGTGTAGGAAGGGCAATTGCAGTAAGCCAGGAAAGGAGTGGTATTTTCAATAGTTTTTTCTATTTCATTAAAAAAAAAAACCCAAACCAAAAAACGATTCCAGATTCTTTGATAATTTTGTGACCTGCTAAGGAGACATGACCCACAGTTTGCAAAATGCTGACGAAGGGCTAGGCGGGGAAGTGGAGGTCATGGTGCAAGTAGGGACGTGACTCCAGAGGGAAGAAGGGCTGAGGCTCCTGTGTGAGGGCTGGGCTGAAAAGTGCTGCTGGAGCTGCAGATTGGAGGAGACAGGCCGTCTCCTTGGGTGATGAGGGCAGGAAACTTTATCATACCATCAGAAAGAGATTAGGCTCCGGAACCAGACTGCCCTTGAGTGGGAGTCCTGGCTCTGGCTCCCCCTGGCTGTGTGGAGGTGAACTTGGGCACAGCCATGGCTTTATACCCATGGGCAGTGAATTCCCACACCAACCACAGCGAGGGGGGACTCCTGCGGTTGCATTCTTAGGCCACCCCTGAGACCACCAGAGAAACTTGGAGGCCAGGTGTCCTGTGAATTGAGGCCCTGTCTACAAGATGACCAAAACCTACACATCCTGGGGTTTGCCATTTTTGCCACCCAGTGAGAGAGGCCACTGAATTTAGGGGCTGAAAAATGCCTGTCTATCCTGAGCCTTCTGATGACTCATTGTAACCTGGGCAGGGCTGCTTTTAATTAACCTCTTGGTACCTGCTTTATCAGCCTAGCTTGATATTTGAAGCCCTGAGGCTGGCTGTTTCTACTCTAATAGCCCCACGCCACCGAGGCCAGGAATAATTTCAGGCCCTAATAGTATTCCTAAGACACACCTTTTAGCAACCAGCCTGGGCAAAGTCTGCACCTATTGCACCCCTTTGAGGCCCTGTTGTTAAGTGGGAGGCCAGATTAATGTCAATAGCCATTGACTTTACATACCCAGTAACTGTTCTTTTCAAGACCCCAATCAGTCCCACCACTCTTTTGATCCTTCTTTTAGTCATTCAGGCAGTCATGAATAAACATTCATACTTCTTAGTTAAAAAATCCAGTCCTGCCAATGGCTTAGTCTGCTAGTTAGTGATTCCTTCCCCAGAATGCAAAGCCTTGACCCAGTTTCAACCCAGAAGGCCTGAGAAATGAGTCCACTGGCAGGCCAGTGGAGGAGGCAGGACTATCATCTCCCCTTCAATCACACCACAGAGGCCTGTCCCACGGGGACAGCAAGGCACTGGGGCCCAGATACTCTTAGAAAGACCGATCACTCATCCATAACGTTTTACAGAGAAAATTTTTACTCTATCTTAGTAAAAATGTTTGGGATTCTTTTGCTTGAAAGTAATAGAAATTCAACTTTAATTACCTTTTAAGGGTGGATTGTGTTATATGACTCAAAGAAATAAGGAGAGGAGTAATGAATGGCAGTCCTGCTTTCTCTCCATCTCCTCTCTCTGCTTCCCCTTCCTCTCTGGTCCTTGGGCAGAACACTGGCACCCTGTCAGCCCTCCAGATGTACTTGCCTTTGGTTTAAGACCCATTTTTCTCAGTTCTAGTTCCTAAATGCCAAGAAAGGACTCTTATTGTCAAACCTGTACCAATCAATGGCATCAGGAGTGGGGCTACCTCATACCATCAAGTAGCTCCCACAGTTACCACGCATTTGGAGTGAGAAGGAAGGGCAGTTTCTAGAAAAAACGGATACTACACAGGCAAAATAATGTGTCTATACTGAGGTCCTTAGACACCATTCATGCCTTTATTCTACAGATAAAGAAATAAGCCAAAAAGAGCTCCCCAACTTCCTTGACCTTCCATCACTTGTTTGAGGTAGAGGGGAGCTGAAACACAAGTCTTCTGGCTTCGAATCCAGGGCTCTTTCCATTACACCAAGTTACTGTCTCGTCTCCTGATTCCAGTTTCTTTTATGGTACATGGCAAAACAAGCCTTAGTAATGACCTGTCACTCCAAGCCCAATGCAATAGTTTTTTTTTTTTTTCTAAAGATTGGCACCTGAGCTAACAACTGTTGCCGATCTTTTTTCTGCTTTTTCTCCCCAAATACCCCTGGTACATAGTTGTATATTTTAGTTGTGGGTCCTTCTAGTTGTGGCATGTGGGATGCCGCCTCAGCATGACCTAATGAGTGGTGCCATGTCTGCGCCCAGGATCCAAACCGGCAAAACCCTGGGCCACCAAAGCGGAGCGCACCAACTTAACCACCTGGCCACGGGGTCGGCCCCCTGCAGTAGTTCTTTTAATTCTCCCGTTTGACAGGTGAAGAAAGTAGAGTTAGAGAAATTAAGTAATTCATACAAGGTCATAATAATTGGTGAAGCTGAGCTTTAGACTATTTCCAGAAGCCATCCTCTTTACTGCTGTGCTGTCTGCTGCCCAGCAGATATTTCTCTGCCTCACACCTCCTGACTCCGTATGTTATCTGCCACAGTCCCAGTGAGAGGACCAGCACTGGGCTCATCACGTGGGCCTCGCACCAGTGGATAACTGCTGTGCAGCTGGTTGCCTAGACTTTAGACGTCCTTCATCACAGAGGAAAATAGTGACACGCGAGAGTTACTCAGGAACGCCCCCGTGCCCGTGTGTAATTTGACTATAGCAGTTCAGGAAAAGAACAGAGCCTTCCACGGTGCAAAGCAAATGCAAGTTCAAAACAGGGTAATGATTTTTTTCCTCATAAGACTGTCAAAAACTTAATGTTTGATAATCCTGAGTGCTGAAGTTTTGAGGCGTGAGAGTCGTTACTCTCATGCATTGCTGGTGTGAGCCAACTTGCAAGGCAGTTAGGCCACATCTGTTTAAACTAGGACCTGGTCCTCGAGGAACAATTGCACATGTGCTCAAGGAGATGTGTTTGAGAATATTCATCACAGCATTGTGAAAGCAAAAATTTGAGAACTGGGGCCAGCCTGGCAGCGCAGCAGTTAAGTGCGCACGTTCTGCTTGGGCGGCCCGCGGTTCGCCGGTTCAGATCCCGGTGCGGACATAGCACCACTTGGCAAGCCGTGCTGTGGCAGGCGTCCTACATATAAAGCAGAAGAAGATGGGCAAGGATGTTAGCTCAGGGCCAGCCTTCCTCATCAAAAAGAGGAGGATTGGCAGTAGATGTTAGCTCAGAGCTAATCTTCCTCAAAAAAAAAAAAAAAAAAATTGGGGAACTGCTCAAATGTCGACTGATGGGGAAATGGCTAAATAAAATGAGGACTAGTCATACGACCAATGAATAAAGAAATTGAAAGGAATAAACTAGATCTAATGTATTTGATCAAATCTAAGATATACCATTGATTCTCATTATTCTCAGTAATTATCTTCTATAAAGTTATTCTGAACACTGAATTAGCAAATACTGAACCAATGCTCCTAAGGAAAATACAGAGTTAGGTTCCTGCAAGGCTCTGGTCACAACGTTATTGTCAACTGATCAATACATAATCTTGTTGTATGTGTGTTTCTGTTTAAAGATACTTTATTTAATATATATTGTTGATTCGTTAACATTGGACTCACAGCCAACAATGCTATTCTCGCGGCTGAACTAAATTATCTAACACTCATATTCTCCATAAGTACGTCACAGCCTTCTTACACTAGGAGCACTAGACACATTTCACTAGTACTCCACTTCAGCAAACACTAACACTTTAGCAGTATGCTTGGGGCCATTTTAAACAGCAAAATCACCAACAAAAAGCAGAAAAATGCAAAAAACATGGCACTAAATAGACCTTGGAAAGGACGCTTGTTTACAGTCTGCGAGCTGAAAGAAGGCAGAGCAGCTCCTTGTTCAGCCTCAGCTGGGAGTGTGCACATCAGGCAACTCAAATTTTTCATTCCTCTGAGCATGTCCACAAATGACTATGAAAGCACTATGAGTATTGATTTTAGGGTTACAAATAAATTTTAGCAAGTAGGTGAATTCACAAATGCGGAGTCTGCAAATGATAAGGATCAACTATTTGTATCTTCACCTTTTAACGTTTCACAAATTGGAGTACATCTTAGATTCCATGAAAGATAGTATATATATCAATATAGATAGAATCTGTGATTAATGTTGACTGTAAAACCAAGGTGAAGATCAATATATAGAAGATGAACCCATGTATATAAAATAAAAGACCACCATGCTTCTCCTTTGCTACATGTAGTTAATGCATATTGAGGATTCCGCTGGGCACTATTCTAAGCACTTTACCATCTTAATTATTTTAACCCTGACAAGGCACTTCTGAGGTAGGTGCTATTTTATCCCCATTTCATACAAAGAGTTTAAGAAAATTGCCCATGGTCGGAAAAACAGATGTTTATTTCACACCAAAGTAAAAATGACTGACTGGATTTAATCTATGAACTTTCCTAACGTTATTTGTATCTTAACAGGAGCTAAAACACAGACTATAATAAACTCAGAACAATCATTCTAAATTGTATTGTTATGAAATAAAGTTTTACTCCTCCAGTTCATTTATTGCCCACCATATTTCTTACTTAGAAGTAAAGAGATCTATACTTAAAATATACCATTGATTTCATCAGTTGCTGAGTCTTCCTAGGCACTGGATTTAATGGGATTGTTTTTAGCTTTTGAAAGCCTCTTTTATTTTAGTTTTGTGAAAACATATCTCTACATGTGGACATCTTTTTTGCTTATGAAAACACTTGTATAACTTGTACTCTATTTATACTGATGCTTATTAATTTTAAATATGTTCAAGTTGCGTTATATTGAGTAAAGTCATAAATTAAGATGTAAGAAACAAGAATTTTTATAAGCTCCAGATAGACTTATGCAAGAATCAATGTGTCTGAAAGCTGAGGTACTTCAGAAACTAAATGCAGAAATATTTTAAAATAAGGCGTGAAGATTATGGAAATATGGAACATATGAATGCATTTTTTACTCCAAATTTTTTTGCATAACACTTTTGCATATCAAAAAAATTACGTTACTCTTGGGACTTATGATCCTGAGAAACTGTTGGTTCTTAACCACATCCTTATTTAACTAATAGCTTTTCCTCCAACCCCGCTGCTGCTTACTGAAAATACACACGTTTACCAAAGCCCCTTCCGGTATCAACAAACTTTCTGCCTACCAGTTGGGGATTATTAATTGAACTGTGAAATTTCTGTTTTTGTAGGTCATTTTGACCTATTTTTAGTTGGATATCAGCAATTTTGTGTGGCTCAGCCTAACATCATTGCCCTTTGACCCTCCATGGCTCTTTATCTATATATTGCTGATGGCATTTATTTAGAACTGTCTTGTCCAATTAGAGGCTGTAAACCCTCTTGAGGGTAGGGACTGCAGCTTGTTTCTCTTTGGATCCTGCTCTGTCTTTCCCAGAGCAGCTCCTGAATAAATGTTTCCAAGTGGATGAAGTTAGAGAAGGCATCATCATTGCCTTAACTTGCTGTCTCTTCCCTTTCAGCGGTCCACATGTGCAGCATCCTGGAGCATAACTGTGCCCACTTCTGCATCAATACCCCTGGCTCATACGTCTGCAGGTGCAAACAAGGGTACATCCTCAGCTCCAATCAGAAGACTTGCAGAAGTAAGATTGCTTTACTGACATATCTGTACCGTCCTCCTTGGCTCTCCTGCTCTCTCTTCTTTTATCTAGGCCCATTTAATTCATCTGTGGCCCCTCACCCAACCAAGTCATCATCTCGCTAAGATTTCGTAACTCGTGTATTTTGTGTTAACCCACTCCCCTCTCTGCCATCGTAGCACCTGGGCCAGAGCTGGGCACATGGTAGGCCATCAGGAAGAGTTTGGAAGATGGTTGGAGGTACCTTTGCAGAATAGCCTCCTTGAATTCATGAGCTGGTGTCCTTTACTTCCAAGCTGTTCTTTAGGGGGAACAGCTAGAGAGCCTTTTCATCCACTGTCTCTATTACCTGGATCCTGAGGAATTGTTTCTGTATTTTATTCTCTCCTTTGAAGCATAGACTTAGGGTGAGTTATCAACATTGGCTGGGAACGATTATACAAGTTCTGTTTTAGAGGTGTGCCAGGATCAGGTTGCTTCGGTGAGGGACACTTTATAGGTTTCCTAAATTAAAAAGGGAAAACAGATATAAAGTGCTAATAAAACTCACATTCTCTTTTTTGGCCAAGCCCCAAAACTAGACAATATATTGACCTTTTAGTGAGCATGAGGTAATCGCCTCTTAGAGGAGAGAATTATCCAGACGGAGTGTTGTACCTATACTTTTTTTTTAAGTTTTAAGTAAAGCCACTGTATTAGCCCATAGACAACCAGGCTACCAAACCAGGCTTCCTCAAGACATGAGGAAGATCGGCCCACAGGAAGGCAAATAAAACTCAGCTGCTCTCACGCGTAGTTCATGCAATGCGTAATTGTTATTATACCGCATGGTAAGCAATTAAACATTAATGGAAAACAGTTTGCACAAATGGCTGTAATTAGTATCATGTTTTTAGAGCCAAACCACATTTTCCTTTCCTCTTCTCGCTTTTCAGTTTTGAGGTTGAGAGTGGTTGGCGAGAGGCCTCTCTGCGCCCCAAGATTAAGTAACATGTGCTTGATCCTCCAGTTCTAGGGCCTGGAGAAGCCCCATGCCCTTGGACTCTGTGAATCCCAGGGGTCTCTCTGTTCTTGGGCTCCTCTCAGGCCCCAGAATCATCCTGATCTTCTGCTTGAACCTCTGACCCTTCTTCAGTTCCCACAATAAAATCACTCACATCAAATACTCATGGGTTTAATAGAATTTACTGGAGAACTGGGGGAGCCCAGGAAAGGTCACCTCACACACTGCTCAGCAAACAACCTAAACATCTTTTTAGACACTCCCCATCCTCTTCAGGAGCTCTCTCTGCCCACTCCTCCCAGCCTCTTCAGGAGCTCTCCCTGCCCAAGGGCCTTCTCTGCAGAGTGCATGGCCTCCCCCCCACCTTGCTAACTCCCTTCCTGCCCTTCCCTTCTTAGGAGCACGAGAAATTCCTCTCCTTGTCTCATGCCCCAGTGACCTGTTGAGATCTGGGCATCTGGTGATGTCCATTTTCCATGGGCTGGCTTAGTCAAGCCAGAGGAATTTTGAGACTAGCAAATAAAAAATAAAAAGTTCTCCCCCTACTGTCATGAGCAAGGCCTTCTCCTCATTCTGGGGTTTGCCCATTCCCGCCTGGTCCCACCTCAAGCCCTGAGCCCCCAGGATCTCCCAAGTGCTGGTCTGGCCTTGGCTCCCTCTTGTCTAGGGCAGAGGGTACAAGGAGTGTGATGCAGAAACTGCCTGGGCTTCAGAAAGGCTGATCGGGGGAGGGGTGAGGAGGCCCAAGTGGAGGAGGCACATGAACCTAGGCAGTGGTTCTCAAGCGTCAGTAACTAAGTATCACCCAGAAGCCAAACCCTGGGTCACCCCCAGAGATTCAGAGTCAACAGGTCTGGGGTAAGGCCCAGGAGTCTGCATTTTCAATGACCTTCTGACATAGATTGCTGCCACACTTTGAGATTCCCTGGTGTCAGGCAGAGAGGGGACAGGAGAGAAGGGTTTCGAGTTAAAGGGGAAGGGAAGGGCTGGAGCCAGGGCTCTGCTGTCCCGCCTGATCCAGCCGTCTAGGCACCAAGAAGCTGTTAAACTACGTTTACTGTCGGTGTCAGACTTAGTTTAATATGTGTAGTCATAAACAGCAGTTCTCTCTCTTTAAGAAAAAAATAATAATAATTCTTTTGCTTGCGTGCCTGAAATTATAGGCCAATGACCTTGTGGAAAGAACAGGGCCTTTATAGTTCACAGACCTGGGTTTGAATTCTAACATTCAGGCTGTGTCTGTCTCACCCTGAGCTGGCTGTTTAAACTCCTTGACTCAACTTCCTCACCCATAAAATGGGAAGGGTGGTGAGACATATCTCATCGGTAAGTCCTTGTTAGCTGTGGTTTTGATCTGGCGGACAGTTAAAGGTTGTGCCAAGGGAAGGCTGGGCCGTACCCTGACCTGTTGATGAGCTGGTTGCAGGGACCTGTCCCTGGCAACACTGAGAGACTCAGTGGGCCTGGAGAGGAATGGGACATGGCCATTTCCATTTGGGGCATATAAGGTGTGCCAGGCAGCATGCAAATGACTGGAAATAAAATAGTGAATAAAACAGCAATGCTCCTGCTCTCCTGGAGCTCACATTCTTGCATGGGAGTAAATCAAATAAACAACCAAGATAATTGCAACCAAAAGTGATTGCAGCCCATGCCCAGCTTGGTGTGCTGCACACGAGGTCGGGCCTAACTGTAGCCACTTATTAAGTGTCTGCCATGTGCCCGGAGCTCTCCTAAGGGCTTTATATCTGTCTCATTTAATTCTGACAATGAGCTCTTAAAGTAGGTTTATCACTTTCATTTTACAGATAAGGTACAAAAAAAAGGTTAGACAATTTATTCAAGGCCATATGACTGGTAATGTGACCAAACCAGAATCCAAATCCTGTTATGTGTGACCTCATATTCCTAGCTCTTAACCACCATTTGATACCATCACATGATCCTTGAGGGCCCCCAGATGGCAGCAGGGCAACCATGCAAGTGGACAAACTCCTCCAAGCCCAGGACAGGCAGGTTCAAAAACTCACTGATCCCAGGAGAGACTCAGAACTAATTCATCAGGACTAACATTCAAATGATTGTCATTCCCCCAAGTCCACTACCAACTGCTGTGATAGTGTCATTGTAGAGAATGATTGTGAGAGGGCCTCTTAGATGATCACTTTCAAATACAAACACTCACACACATACACCTTATCCACCATTTTCTATCCATACCCTGCCTGTGTGGAGAGAGGAGACAGACACAGCTAATTCATAGGTTCTTCGAGTGGAAATAGACCTTGGCTATCAGGAATATAACCCAGGAATTCTATTCCTTCCTGGTGTCCCAGATGGGTGATGGTGCATGTCCAACCACCATCATGCATCTGGGACTCCAGGTCATTGCAAAGCACTTGCAATCCCACCTTTAGGCAGCCTGGATCAGTGGTTTAGCTGAAATCCTGCTTTCTATAATTCCCACCTTTGATCCTATTTCTGCCATCTGAAGCCACATACCAAAGTCTATTTCCTTTTCCAAGTAAAAAAAGAAAGCCCTTTGATTATTGAAGAGTGTTATCCCGCCCCCCCCCCCCCATTAATTTTCTCTTTTTCAGGAGAAGCATAAAGATATCTTTAGGTGACCTGGTTTTGGATCTCATCACTGTCCAGATAACCCTCTTCTGGACACCAGTTGGTCAGTGTCTCGAAATGTGCCCTTTCGTTCAAAGACTACATCAAGCACATTAAATAATCTTACCTTCGAAGTTCTGCCCATGTGAGCAATTTGGAATGTACTGGAAGCCAGCTTTGTGGATTCTTCTGTCCTCCTAAGAGTCTTCTGCATCTGATACCATTGTATGAGATATGTGCAAAAGCGTTAGCATAGTGCCTAGCCCATAGGCCTCAATAGAAGTTCATGTCCTTCTCTTTCCTTATTTAAAAAAAAATAGAGAAAAAAATCCTAATGAAGTGTGCCTGTCTTCACACGTCTATTTCCCTCCACCTTCCCCTCCCCTTGAATTCCTTTCCCACTAACAAGAAAGATCTTTATATTGTTTCCTTTTATTTTTTTAAATAAGGAATTTTTCTTTCCTGTCTCTCTCTTCTCGCATATTTAGTCTATCTGGAAGAATAATGAAAACGCAACATTTAGAAAACTGCACTTGGCAAAAAAAACATGAAGTTTCTCATCCAGTTTTCTCATTTTTTTCTCTCTCAAGAACCATACCAAATGCATTTTACTGCTTTCATTCTTCAGATATGTTCCTAACATTATTTTTCCAAAGCTACATAAGTGGTTTACTAGCTTTCATATTAGAGTTTAGTCAAGGGGCATGATCCAGAAAACCAGTCACATTATTGAAGAGAGAAAAGAAAACTATAACTAACATCCCTCATGAATTTAGATACAAAAATTCTTAAAAACTTATCAAATAGAATCCATGTATATATAATATAATCGAGACTAAATGGGGTTTATCCCAAGAATGCAAGGTTGGTTTAACATTAAAAAATCAATTAATATTGCCAGCCCCATGGTGTAGTGGTTAAGTTCGGCATTCTATGCTTCAGTGGTCCAGGTTCTTGGGTTTGGATCCCGGGTGCAGACCTACACTACTTGGCAGCCATGCTATGGTGGTGACCCACATACAGAATAGAGGAAGATTGGCAACAGATGTTAGTTCAGGGAGTATCTTCCTCGGGGCGGGGGGGGGGGGGGGATCGATTAATGTAATTCACCATATTAACAGACTAACAAATGAAAAAAACATATGATCATTTCAATAAATGCAGAAAAAGTATTGGACAATACCCAACATTCATTCATGATAAAAATTCTCAGCAAACTAGGAATAAAAGGAAAATTCCTCAACCTGATAAAGGGCATCTATGAAAACACCTACAGTTAACATCATGCTTAAGAATGAAAGACTAAATGCTTTCCTCCTGAAATCAGGAACAAGACAGCATGTCCAGTCTCACCACTTCTATTCAGCATTGTACTGGAGCCTCC